CCCACCACTGGTGGATATAGTTGACATATTGGTACATTCTTCTTTACTTTTGTGCAAGTTCTTATAAAAAAGTTTTGGTTTAAAGTGATGAATCATAAATATTTCTCTTACGTGCAATTTGTCTATTTGAGGCAGAACACTAGTTTTCTAAGGTAAAACTGATTTCCTGCAAGAGTGACAAGATAGGTCCTACAGAACAAAAGTAGGTTTAATCAGGAAGTGTATTGTAAAGTAATTATGCATTTTCTGAATCCGACTGAGTTTGTGAAGGAAAGAGACTGGACACAATGTAAAGTAAAATGGAACAATCTTTTATTCAATAACACAACCAAATAGTGTGTGTACTTATTAGATGAAAGACAGTGCCTTTATTGGAAAGAATTCTCAAAGCCTGTGTTCTCTAGCAAAATCTGCTGAAGTTATGTATGGAATTCTGTTCCAGACTGAGAAAACATGCATTATATATGCAAAATAACAATGTTATGTTCTTCCCACATGACTATTGGTCATTCTCATTGAAACATAAGGGAAGCCATAGGCTTGAGACATCACCTGATCTGCCAATGGAAAAGGTTTCTGCCTACTTTCACATATAATAGGTACAACTTTGCAGGAACTTTTCCTACAGGAAGACAAAGATGATACGTCAGGTAAATGACACAGAAAGATATGTAGTTCGAATGAAAGGAACTTACCTTTCTGTATTAAAGCTGTTTATACCTGAATAAAGGAAAATTTCTATAACACAAGAGGTTAGAAAACACAGTATGCCAACATAACACAATGCTTTAAACCATTATATTGTAACTTTATATTCACACTACTTGTTTCAGTGTTGATAAAGTTAATATTGGTTCTGTATACTCTGCTTCATTTCTTTTAAATGAGCAGATAAACTGTAAATTATAGATTTGATTTAGCCACACTTTCAGTGCATCAGGTGAATAACAAAAAGTTAAGTGTAGGAATTTGATATTTAAATTGGAAGAAGTTACTGAAACTAAATTGGTTTTGAAATTCATATGAAAAGGTTTCTAAAGAAAGAGTGGCTGTAACAGATAAATGCATGATTTTCTTGTTTTTCTCAACTTCAAACTATGTGTTTCACAAGTGATAATATTAGACAAACAGGACATATCAAAACATCAGACTTCTTTTGAGAGATTTTGAATTTACTGAGTTTAAATAAAGATAAGAAAACCATATTAAAGGGAACAATTAACAAATTCAGAATATATACTTTGAAATTTGCAGATTGAAAACTTGATGTACATTTGCTGTGAAGAAATCAATCCTTTTTTGTTCTGAAAATATGTTAATAATACTTTTGTAATTCTTAAACATAAATCCTATTTTGGAATATTTAAATAGCTTTGGGGTGTCTAAATTCACAGTCAAATAAAAAAAGGACTTTTGTTAATTTTTTATGTAATTATAAGAAATCTTTGTGAAGCCTTTGTCAGAAACATACTTTACAGGGCTTGGTATGTGACCAATCAGTGAGTTGACTTGTAAAACAAAACTAATAAGGAAATAATTGAGTATTATTTGTTTTATTAGTGATTTAAAAAGTAACTTTATAATTTAAACCATTTTTACATGAAGAATATAAAATTTGTTTTAATTTTAAACAACAATTTGTAAGATTTGTTTAGTTGGATTTTTGTTGCTTGGGTATGGAAAACATTGATTTTTTTTTCAGGTTATAATTTATGGCACTTGTAGTTTGTAGTTGAAAAAGAAAACCAAGCATTTGCCACAACCAGAGTTGCATTAGGTGTTATTTCAGTTTGCATTCAAACTACAAACTTGTTTTTGTTACTTCTACCAACTTAAATATACATTTTCTTAAACTCAAGTATTCATTCATTTATCAACTTATCTATCCCCCACTGTAGGCATGGCTATGTTGAATCAACATTTCGTTGTTTATTTGGTTGTGTAAAGAAACATTCGAGCATGAGAGTACAAAAAAAAAATAAATCTTGCATTTTGTAACATTTCAGTTATTAATATAACAATAAACTTACAAACAAGGATTTTAAAGTGTTGTGTTCAGCCTCCAGTGATAAATTTTGCATGTGAAAAAACATTTCTGATTCATTATTTGAAGTCACCAGCGAGTTGACTTGTGAAAGGAATTCAGTAAGGAAATTAAAGTATTATTAAGTTCAATGTAATTTGCTTTATTAGTGAATAAAGGAACAACTACTTCAAATCATTTTGATGTAAGGAATATAAATTGTTGTATTATTTGAAATGAAAGGTTTTAGGAATTGGTTGGTTTCTTGTTGCTCAGTTACACAAATTTATGCACCATGAGATTTCATTGACATATGAAAGATATAATTTAAAATTTTTGTCATGAGCACTTTGCTATTTGTCTTTAACCGAATCTGGTTTACAGTTTATCTCAATCTTGAGATTACAAGATAAAAATCACCTGAAAAATGTAACCAAGCAAAATAATCATGTTTTATACATCACAAACTCCTTCCATACATTAGAATATTTGATATATGGCCATTCACTTGTCATTTAAAAATAAACTAGACAGAAAAATCATGTTGATCAGGTAGTAGAACTAATCATGATTGAAAGTTAGATGTTTTATCAGAAGAGCACGTTAAGTAGTGACAGCTGGCAAAGGTGTGTGAGTAATAAGCCTGACACTCACAATAAACATACTACCTTAAACGTTTTGTTTTTATCACATTCATTTTTAGTTAGTTTACTATCCTTCTTAGAATTATAATTTTCATTCTCCATTACAAAAAAAAGGTGTGAATACACAATAGATCTGGATACTCAAAACAATCATTCAAAAGGCATAGAAACTTTTTGTAATGCTTATTACACCATTTTTGGTAGTAACCTAACTGTGTATACAAGGACACAAATTTACCTGTCATAAGACGTATCAATTAGTACGAATTACCAACAATAAAAGATTATCTTTGTATTCTAAAGGAACTTCCTTGACCTTAACTTGATAATTCTGAAGGAACTTCCTTGACCTTAACTTGATAATTCTGAAGGAACTTCCTTGACCTTAACTTGATAATTCTGAAGGAACTTTCTTGACCTTAACTTGATAATTCTGAAGGAACTTCCTTGACCTTAACTTGATAATTCTGAAGGAACTTCCTTGACCTTAACTTGATAATTCTGAAGGAACTTCCATGACCTTAACTTGATAATTCTGAAGGAACTTCCTTGACCTTAACTTGATAATTCATTGTCTTATTACAAAACATATACTAAGATTTAAATCTAGAAACAAAGCATGAGGATGTAGAAGTTTTAGTTAGATTAAGTGACGTATAGTAAACGTCACAACTTGGTATGAAACAAGAATTTAATAACATATGGAATCTTGTATCATCAACAAATGAAAAGCTGTTTTCAAGTTTATGGTGCAAGAATAGTATTTAAATAGCTATAAGAATAAGTTGCAGTAACAGTTCAGTGAAAGGGTTTACTTCTAAAGGCAGTAATACCTATCTTATGGCAATGTGTCTTGACAATGTCCTTAATTAAATGATTGTGAATTTTTATAATACACCATAAAACATCTTAATTTTACATATATCTGTTATGCCAGTTTATGAATTATTATCAACTGTCTCCAGTTGATAAAATTTGAAAAATGTTTAGTAAATGGTTGGAAATGGATTGATCCTAAAATTTGTAGAGACAAGTTTTCCATAAAAAGATAATAGTAAGTAAATCAGATGGAGCTTAATAGTTAGAATAAGAAATAAGGTTTTGAAAAGTATTTTTATTTATATGTTTATTAACTTATAACAATGCTTTTTTTTTTGTTCTTTTATTTATAGTCGGTGGCTCAGAAATTTTTCGGAGGTATTGGTCCAACTTTCTTCTTGATACAGATGTGCTTGTTTTTGTTGTGGATGCTACAGATGCCAGAAGGTTATCAGAAGTTGTATTTGAGCTCCACAAGCTTTCAGCTGATGAACGTCTGCAGAAGGTTCCATTTTTTAATTTTGGCAAATAAGCAGGTAGGCTAAGCAAAAGATAAGTAAAGCTTCGAGAGCTTT